CCCCTGCAGTGACTTCCTTGCCCTCCCACACAGGGCATTCCCAAACTGGTGGGTTCCTGTGTGGCTCCAGAGACCCACCAAAATCCCAGGTGGGGAAACTGAGGCACAGTGAATCCCAGCAGGGCAGGAGCCAGCAGCAATCCAACCCCTCCTCCTGGGCATCACACCCTCCCTTCCTGCCTGGAATTGCTGTGCTGCTGCTGCTGTGCACCCAGTGATTAGTGAGAGTGTGAAGTTATGGAGTGGGAGATCCAATCACAGCCACAACTCCAGCTCTGCACAGGCCTATTTGAAAGGGTAAGTGTTCCACAGTTGTTGGGTTTTTTTTTCATGCCTGCAACAATCTACACAAATAGGCTTTTAAATTAAGCAGTGATTTGGAATATAAGTGAGTGCATTTAAGCTGCTAAGAGATGGAAAGATCCTAATGGCTGAAATATTTGTCATATCACAAATAAACTGGCTGTATGGGGAGCTACTAATATAACTAATTTTTACCAAATCCTTCACTGCTCTGTGACAGAAAATGAGGTCAGCACAGGTTGAGGCAACAGCAAATGAGCAGCTGCCAGAAGGCAGCACAGAATACTGATAAAGGACTCTGCAGGAACTGTGCTGCCTGCCCACAGAAACAGGAATCAGTTTGTTCAAATTAAGATAGAGCTTTTCCAGAGCATCCAAGGTTTTAATGGAAAGGTGCCGACGAATACAGGCTTCCAATGGATCTGGAATACAAATGCCTTCCCAGGTGTTTCCTCCCTGTTCCCCCAGGCCTGGGCACATCCAGTTCTCTCCATGAGTTCTGTGGGATTTTTGAAAGGCACTGGGGTGTCAGAGAGGGCAGGAGGTGCCCTGGGGCAGCTGATGAGAGTCCCTGGGATTCCTACGGTTCCTCTGGGGTTTTCCAGTTACAGGAATTAACCCCTGACCTGATCTGCCACTCACGAGGAGGAAAAGTGAAAGGAAGAGGATTTTGGATAACTCGGGTCACTGTAATAGAACAAACCAACCCCAAAGCCCACAGAGGTGGTGCCTGGCAGTGCCTGGAGCACCTCTAGAGGTTGAGGAGCCTCCCAAAATCACTCCAGTACGAGGTACTCTGAGTTGCCAGATGGAGGACAATATACCCAGGGAAGAGGGAAATGCTCCATGCCAGGGTTGCAGCAACAGCCTGTGTTTTTCTTGCCATGCTCTAAAGGCTGCCTCAAACATTTGGGACCAACTGGGATGCAGCCATGGTGTGGTTAGATGAGGAAAACAACAGAATTGTTTTCATTCTCAGAAAGAAACCAAGAACGCTTTGGAAGGGGGTTTTTCTCCCTCCTTTACAGGGACAAGAAGCCTGTCTTTGAGTAAGGGGAGGATTTTGGTCATAATTTTCCCTGAGGCCCAAATGAGTGAAAAAAATCAAATAACTCCACTGGTGAAGCAGGAAACTTAGACATGGGGAAACTGAGGCACAAAATGTCTTCCATAAGAATTATAGAATCAGAGAATCCCGAGCTGGAAGGGACCCTCAAGGGTCATCCAGTCCAGCACAGACACCCCAACAATCCCACCTGTCCCTCAGAGCATTGTCCAAACCCTCCTGGAGCTCTGGGGAACCTGGGGAGCCAAACTGCCCTGGGGAGCCTGGTCAGTGCCCAACCACCCTCTAGGGGAGGAATCTTTTCCTAATATCCACCCTAACCCTCTCCTGACAGAACTCCAGCCATTCCCTCAGATCCTGGTGTGAGGGAAAGACTCAGTGTCTTCACTGTGGCAGCCTGAGAGTGACCCCACCATGGCAAAAACGGGTCAGAGAGGGGACCAGGGTGTCCAGTTTTAATTTGGGATGACAATCACACATAACCCCAGCTCCCTGTGCCACGTGAGAGGGGCTCTCCTGGGATCACTGCACAGGGAGCTTTGGGAGTGGAACAGCGACCACTTGGGAGCATCAGCCAATTTGAGAAGAATAAGCTCCACATGGATTAGCAATAAAACTTAAAGCTCGCCACACTCCCGAAATGGAAGGGTGGAAAGGGTTCATATTTGATAACCATTAAGTGGTTTAATGAAATAATTATAACCCAGACTCCTGAGCCCGGCCGGGATCAATAACTATGAGCTCTGAGCAACAGCATGACCCGAGTTCTGCCATTTTCCCAGTGCTCCCCAGCAGGCAGAGTGTGAGCCCACAAATGAGATTGACTGGAAAGTTGCATTAAAACCCCCCCATCAAGGGCACTCATGGATTAAGGGCCGCTGTGGCGCTGCAGTGGGCTGGTCAATACGCTTTATTTTCCGCATCAGCCCCAATTTTGCCACCTTCCCTCCCACTATTAGTGGGAGTCGATGTGCTGTCGATGCCTGGTGCTGGCAGAAGCTGCATTAATGCAGGCTCACAAAAGCAGGGCTCGTGGCATTATCACTTCACTCACTTTCAAATTACAGCCTAATGTTGTCTCCAGGCAGCCTGTGACACGTTAACACTATGTGTGGTTTGCTGGTGCCGGGCTAAATATTTCATGGCTAAAGATTTCAGGCGAGATTTGACGACTGAAATAAACCACTGCCCGGTGGGAAATCATTCCAGGCAGGAGAGCTGGGCGTTGGTGGAAAATCAACAGGAAAGGGGTGATGAGGGTGATGATGTGGGAGAGGGGAAGAAGAGCAGGGAAGGTGTGAGGGCAGGAGGAGGGCTGGTGTGTCCCCGTGTCTGCTGGGTAAAGGCAGTGGGACAAATAAATCAAATAAATGCAGTGATGGGGCAGAGGTGATGAGAAAAACAATACAAGTACCTGCACCTGTACTGCAAAAACAATACAAGGTACTCACCTGTCCAGGTACTCACTTGTTCAGGGATTCACTCATCCAGGAATTCACTTGTCCAGACACTCACTCGTTCCTGTACCCTCACACAGTACCTGCACTTGCTCCCAGGCACAGGTTTAGGTGCCCTGTTGCTGCTTTTAAATGTCGAAGTGTTCCCCCTGACACGTGAAATGCAGGTGGATGGACCCTGAGAAATGCTTTGTTTTGGTGGGTATCCCTTATTTTGCTCCCCTGTTTTGCAGACAACTCTTTAGGTTTCTGTGCCACCGTTAATGGAAAATCTCATAAATTTGACATTGTTTTCACTCATTTGTTCACAAAAACTGCAGAACTCTGCAGCAGCCCCTTCTGTCCCGCTCTGGGTCTCACATCCCTGTGGCCAGACCCTCTCAGCCTGTACCTGTGCTTGTTTAGGATTCAGAAACCTCCTCCCTGAGCCTGACCAGGCTGGTGGATTTGAACCAGAGCTCTGACAGTCCCCACCAACACCCTCCTGTGAGACCTGTGCTGGTTTAACCCACTGATCCTAAAATACCACTTTCCCACCCCCATTTCCACTTGGTATCCCTTAGGGCAACAAAGGCATCACACACCATTCATGGGAGGTGCTACCACAGATCCAATTAAATGCCACAAATATTTTTGGGTGACATCATTCAAAACCTTAGAGGGGCAACCAAAAAAGGTGCCTCTGTGCCATTCCATGGTCAGGTGCTGCTATCTGGTGGCCCAGCACCAGCAGTGCCAGCAGGGCCCCCCCAAACCGAAAGGAATTTAAACCCTGCAGTGCAACACTTATTTCCCACTCAATTTCGTGGGATTAATTAACGTTGTGGTTATTCCCCTAATTATTATCAGGGGACCATAACAGCTGGCAGTGCAGGGGATGTTGCAATCAGCAGGCACAGGCTGAGGGGACACTGAGGGACAGTCTGTCCTATGCCAAGGTCACCTGGGACAGGTTTATTTGTTCGGTGGTTTGCCCAGGGCTGTGATTGGGGTCTGTGATGAAAACAGGGATGAGCACACGGGGATGGTTCAGTTCCTGCTGAGCAGGGCTGGCACAGAGGCCTCTTCTGCTCCTCATCCCACCAGGGGAGGCTGGGGGGGCACAAGGGGACACAGCCAGGTGATCCCAAGGGATCCCCCAGACCCTGTGGGGTCATCAGCATAAAGAGCTGGGGGAAGGAAGAAGAAGGGGAGACAGGGATGGGATTTTTCCTCCCTGGTCACCATCAGGTGTGATGGAAAAATAAATCCCTTGTTTTGCTTTCCCATCACCAGTTAAGCTCTGTGTCACCCCCCGGGCTCTCTCAGCATTGCTGTGCCCCCAAGTACCACTCACAGCTCTGGCACTGCAACCCAAAAATGAAGTGTAGGAATTTGAATGCCACAGGCAGCTGAGGGAGCTGGGTTTGCATTTGGAGGGAACATGATCCCTGCCTGGGATCCAGTGGCAGGATGCACAGGAACAGCTCCAAGCTGTGCTGCAGGGTCAGACTAGACAGGGAAATGCTTCCTTCCTGAGAGAGGGGCAAACACTGCAAAGAATTCCAGAGGTGATGTCCCAGGTCAGTCCTTTGCCTGTGGTTTTAACACCGGGTCTTTCAGCCCTGCTCAGGCAGCTGGACTGGATGATCTCTCCAACTTCCTTCCAACTGATCCTGGCCTAGAGCTTTTCATGGACTGCACCTGGAACTGGGAACTGCCACTCCTCTGCTCCAGGCTTCACTGGGAGCAGACTGCTGCTATATAAATTGATATTTAACATTAATATATCAGCAGTTTCCACAAAATACACAGCATTACTGCCCATTATTGCTGAAAAGGCCACCCAAAACCACCTCCCACCCAGCAATGGCTTCTCCAGACTTCAAGCCACCTCTGACTCTGCCCTTCCTGCAAGCCAGATGCTTCAGCTCATAAATGCTTTTAAAGACCAAATCATTTTCTGTGTCTACTTTAAAAATGCCATTTATTGGCCAACATCTATGATAATCAGCTTTTAAGTTCTTCCATAAAAATGCATCCAGACCATAATTCCCAGGCAGCATCTGGCTCCCTTCCCTACTCCAGCACCCACCTGGATCATGTTTAGGTATCATTAATATCTTTATTTACCCTGAAGTTTACTTTCTTTTCCCTTCATCTACAAATACAAAGAAGTGAAGACAGAGACAGTGTGATGCCCATTAAATAGTTTTTATTCTTTAGGACATGAACTGCATTTCCACTCATTACAGTACTGTAAAGTGCAATGGTTTCATCTCCCTCCTGTGCACACTTTCAAGTATTTAAAATGCCCAGAAAATGTTTCTTTTTTCTCTTGAATTTTTGTTTTCTTTTTACAGCAGCTGAGTTATGGAGTTTTAATCTGGCAAAACCAACCCAGATGTGCCTACAGGTTTGGGTCCTTCACTCTACCCCCCACCTGGGGGTCCTCCAACACTAACTGCTAGTGGAATGCATTTCCCAGTGTCCTTAATCCACCTCCTCGATGGTTGGTCCAGAAGAGGCTCCACCAGAGGGAGGAGCTCCACCACCTGGGAATCCTCCAGGCATCCCACCCGGCATCCCTCCAGCGCTCTGGTACAGCTTGGTGATGATGGGGTTGCAAACCTTCTCCAGCTCCTTCTGCTGGTGCTCAAACTCCTCCTTCTCGGCCGTCTGGAAAACACAAAGCTCAGTTAGTGTTGCTCTCACTCATGGACACAACCCAAGAAGAAACCAGGATTATATATTCTAAGAATCTAGGCTTATATTTAGTCCAGATCATTATTATTATTATTTTTGCTTATGCTCAGCCCCACCACAGATGTAAAGTAACTTTTGCTCGGTCTAGTTTCAACACTACCTAGTACTTCTATCACTCTTTAATCTTAAGGTCCTGCTGCTCCAGGAGCAACACATGAGGTCAGAACACTCCTGGGAGAATTCCAGCTGGAAAAAGGAGGGTTTGGAAGCTGTGGTCGCTCAGACATCCAAGGAAGGAACTTGGACCAACACAAGTCTTGCGACTTCTGGTGGAAACTACGAATGGCTTTGGAGTCACTTTCATCACAGCAACCAGAGCTTCTCCAGCCTCCTGGACGAGCCCAGCCCATGGACATGGACACCAGGACCATGGAATGTGACCTACCTGATTCTTGTCCAGCCAGTTGATGATCTCATTGCATTTGTCCAGGATTTTCTGCTTGTCCTCGTCAGAGATCTTGCCCTGGAGCTTCTCATCCTCCACAGTTGCTTTCATGTTGAAGGCATAGGACTCCAGGGAGTTCTTGGAGGACACCTTATCCCTTTGCTTCTCATCCTCTGCCTTGTACTTCTCTGCCTCCTGCACCATCCTCTCGATGTCCTCCTTGCTCAGCCGGCCTGCAGAACACAGGGCATGGTTTGTGCTCAGTCACAAATTCCCAGGAGTTAAAAATCACACATTTCTAGTTAGTTTGGGCAGGCAGAAGAGGCCCAGAATGTGCTTTCTTAGGAACTCATGAACTACTGCACCAGCAGCAAACCAAGGCTCACAACTATAATCAGTGTGAAAGTGCCAATTACAGCCAAATTGTGATTAAAATAAAAAGCACACTTCAGAGCTCTTCAGCCTCCCACCCTCAGGAACACACAGGTCCTTACCCTTGTCATTTGTGATGGTGATCTTGTTCTCCTTGCCAGTGCTCTTGTCCACAGCAGACACGTTCAGGATGCCATTGGCATCAATATCAAAGGTTACTTCAATCTGAGGGACACCTCTGGGAGCAGGGGGAATGCCAGTCAGCTCAAACTTGCCCAGCAAGTTGTTGTCCTTAGTCATAGCACGTTCTCCTTCGTACACCTAGTGAGCAAAACCATCCAGTTATGTCATTAAGGTTGACATTATTAAACCATAATGAGCTATTAATTATCCTGAGGGGACATGGTCGCTCAGACATCCAAGGAAGGAACTTGGACCAACACAAGTCTTTCGACTTCTGGTGGAAACTACGAATGGCTTTGGAATCACTTTCATCACAGCAACCAGGGATTTACAGACTGCAAGGACACACCACCCCTGGCCTAAGAGTTACTGCAAGCATCTTATCACCTCAGCCCAGAGCTCTGTGCTCACCTGGATCAGCACCCCGGGCTGGTTGTCAGAGTAGGTGGTGAAGGTCTGGGTCTGCTTGGTGGGGATGGTGGTGTTGCGCTTGATCAGCACTGTCATGACACCTCCAGCTGTCTCAATGCCCAGGGACAGCGGGGTCACATCCAGCAGCAGCAGGTCCTGCACGTTCTCAGACTTGTCTCCAGACAGAATAGCAGCTTGCACAGCTGGGGAGAGAAAGGGGAAGTGTTAGGAGCCAGATAATGCTACAGATAAACTGTACACTACAGTCAGGCACATGGCTCGCTCAGACATCCAAGGAAGACTTTGGCCATCATTAGGAGACTTCTGGTGGAAACTACGAATGGCTTTGGAATCTGATTCATCATTGCAAGTCCAAGAAGATTTACTGATTTGGAGAGCTTTAGTCATCCAGGTGGTAAACAAAGGGCCTACATACACCCTGTACTGCTCTGAGACTTGAACTCAGGTGGCAGTTTGTACCACCACCTCCCACACTGTGAGTTATATTAACATAGTTACCTGCACCGTAGGCCACGGCCTCATCAGGGTTGATGCTCTTGTTGAGCTCTTTGCCATTGAAGAAGTCCTGCAGCAGCTTCTGGATCTTGGGGATGCGCGTGGAGCCGCCCACCAGCACGATGTCGTGGATCTGGGACTTGTCGAGCTTGGCGTCCCTCAGGGCCTTCTCCACGGGGTCCAGGGTGCCCCGGAACAGGTCGGCATTGAGCTCCTCGAAGCGAGCCCTGGTGATGGAGGTGTAGAAGTCGATGCCCTCGTAGAGGGAGTCGATCTCGATGCTGGCCTGGGTGGAGGAGGACAGGGTGCGCTTGGCGCGCTCGCAGGCGGTGCGCAGGCGGCGCACGGCGCGCTTGTTCTCGCTGATGTCCTTCTTGTGCTTGCGCTTGAACTCGGCGATGAAGTGGTTCACCATGCGGTTGTCGAAGTCCTCCCCGCCCAGGTGGGTGTCCCCAGCAGTGGATTTCACCTCAAAGATGCCATCCTCGATGGTCAGGATGGACACGTCGAAGGTGCCGCCGCCCAGGTCGAAGATGAGGACGTTCCTCTCAGCACCCACCTGGAGGAGACAGAGCAATGTCTTTAATTCACCTCCTGCTGGGGGGTCAACAACTTTTCTATTTGCCCATCAGACAGTTAAACAGATTTCACCATAGCTTTAAACAATTATAGAACAGAACTTTTACCTAAGCACCTTTTCTACTGACTTCCAGAAATATTAATATTTCTTGTCAACGATTCCAATGGATAAAGACTTTTAAAACATTTAAAATACATATTGTAGATTGTACTACAGCTTTTAGCAATTAAGTAGAACCCTTAGCTAAGCACCTTTTGCACTACATTCCTGAAGCATTGTTTTAATATTTCTGGTCAGGGATTCCAACAGATAAAGACTTTTAGAACATTTTATCTGTAGAAAACATACTTAAAAAAAGACATTAACAGGCACATTTCTTGATATAACTGAGTCAAAGCTGCTCAGAGGACTCAGAAACCTTGAAGCTGTTCCAAGGAGGACAGAAGATGGTAAAGAGGAGGATGAAGAGGAAGAAGAGGTCTTTGTGACTGCTTGTCAGTCAGGGGAGAGGTGTCTGAGGGAAGTCTGATGAGGCAAACAATTTTGGGCTGGGTACAACCAATGATTTAATATTCAAATATTAATTAGATATAGTTACAAAGATATTAAGGCCTACACTGTGGTGTGTGCAAGTGCACCTGAAGTGCTGTGATGTAAGAACTGCTTTCTACTCTTCTCTACTCAAAATTGTCTAGAACTATTTCTCCTAACTCAGACCTGATTTAACACCACACCATACCTTTTTGTCCAGCCCATAGGCAATGGCAGCTGCTGTGGGCTCATTGATAATTCTCAGGACGTTGAGCCCTGCAATGGTTCCAGCATCTTTCGTAGCCTGGCGCTGGGAGTCGTTGAAATA